CCGAGGCGGTAGAGGAGGAGGGGGGAGAGAGAGAGAGAGAGAGAGAGAGAGAGAGTGACGTGGGAACTACAAGATGACACAGACAGTCGGCACTCACTCAGCTATGCCGTTTTAAGCCAAAACACATGATATGACTCCAGTGTATATGACTTTTGACACTGTAACAAACTGTATATTACTGATCTCCACAACAATGCATTGTACTTCTCATTGTGTAAATGTTCCACCTACCTGCCGAGACTGGGCCTTGCCATAACGCAGCTGGGTGGCAAAGTGCTCGCAATTTCGACTGAAAATGTCGTATGGCAGTTCTTCACCCACCAAATCAAGGGCATCCCTCACGATCAAGTAGACAGAACGAGGCTGGTACTTTGTGTCCAACAAGTTGTTTACTCTCCAGTCACTGGTACCCACCACCTCCCACAGCTCCTCCTTCTTCACGATGGCCGTGTTTGTTAGGACGGACATCAAACTGCTCGCGCCCGCACCCGGGCCTTCGGCTATAGTTAAGAGTGACACAAAGGGAGAAACTGACATTTAATATCAACAACACAGGTTTTAAAATTGAACACGTGTCGTATTGTCAGCGGTACGGGCAGAATCACGGTGAAAACCCTTAAAATTCTCCAAAGGAATAAATTCCAGGTTTGAGTCAATAATGGCCATCATAAAATTGTCAGTGGGTTCGTTAGCGATTGAGTGAACACTTGCAATTGCCCAAACATCTCACAAAAATATAATTCATGAAGTGAATAAAATTCCTTCCGCATTATTTCAGAAAGAAAAAAAAATGTTGGAAAAGCCTACTAAAACATCTGAACTTTGTATGGTGTTAATCAGCGGTACTATGAATTGTGTCAGTTGTGTGCTGATTCCCATTAAAATGAGTTGGAATGTGATTGGTTAATCTGAACATAGCCACATCTGCAGCAGCCACATGATCTCAGTTGTTTACTTTCAGTTCCTCTCTGGAAAAGGGGTGTGCAGACTTTTTCTATCAACTGTATAAGATTCCTGGGTGTGTGGGCGTGTTGCGCTTTTGGTCAGCACAACTCACAATCTGGGGCCAAATGAACAACACAGCCATCGCCGATGTATACTGCCCAATGCTGGTAGGTGCCACGGGAGATTTCTATCAAGTCGCCAGGCTTTGGTTTCTCAGCGTACTTTGGGTGGAAAACAAATGGGGAAACAGAAATATGTGTTAATTAATAATTACATCTTGTCTTGGGGTTTTGACACAACACCAAATACATTATGGTGAAAACCCTACTGTATATAAATAAAGATGAGGTGAGCATTTAGAACTTACACTGACCTGAGCAATAAAGTCGTAGTTACAATAAATACTGCATTGTATAAAAAGTCAGGCCATGAATATAAATGATCAAATGAAAAAACAGTAAGTATGCCAGTAGCTGAGCATGGCTTCTTGTGATCCGTGACCACGTATTCCTCCACCAGCAGACTAAGATCCAGGAGCAGAGCCAGAAAATTTTCAGTGGGCTAGTCAGAATGATGCAACACCTCAGTGAGGAGTGGCCATATGTGAATGCAAGCGTACAGTTTACGTTCTTCAAACCCCTTCTGTATCTAAGAAGTCAATGTTTATCACACCATCCACAGTCAGAGTTTCCATGAAATAAAATGCATACATTTACAGAATCTTGCCCAACACACCCATAATACAAACGGAACAACTCCAAGTAAAAAGCAACTGTTTGCTAAGCTTAATTTAGTAGACTGTATAATGACATTTTCTTTGCCATTGCTTTTTCTTTTGTGTACTGAGGTGTGTCTTCGGCCCATATTTAGTCATATCTGTGTAACTTTCTCATGTCCGCAGTGAAACTCTTGATTTGTAGCCAGATGTGTCCTTGAAGCATGCCAACTCGTCAGTTAACCTTGTTAATTGTTGCCTGGGGCATCGGAATGCACAGTTGTTACAACCTAGATTCGGTTTAGACAGAAACGAAAGTCCCGATGTCGCACAACAGTTTCGGTACTGCCCTTCTGAAAATATAAATACCGTTTATAGAGTCCTTTGTGTCTTTGCACTTGTGATCTGCTACACCCATTGTCTGTAACTCACTTGTGCCCGGAATATTCTGCAAATAAAACCTTCGAAGAAGCTGATCATCATCTCCAGCCTGTATTACGATAACCAGCATTCATTCTCACTACCCGAAATTAAACGAACACGCGGAAAGATAAAAAGGCCACCTTCCTCCAACAGTACCAACTCGTCGGCCGGTTCACAATATGAAAAAGACAGAGTACGGTCTCGTGAACTTGCCAAATGTGGTCTTTCTTTGAACTTACATGAGAATGTTCTTTAGAAAGCAAGTCTCTGTGTACTGAACTCCCCCCACCCCAGAGAGTGACAAGGGGTCACTCTGCCCCTTCTAAGACTCATTTGGATAAAAAAAAAAAATTAATTGCTACAAACAATAACAGTCAGGCCTGGCTATGCAATCAGACAAAATAACTACTTTTAGGATTAAGAGAATTCTTTTACCTGTGCTGATGCCATGTCTGTTGAAGCTCTCTGTACACTTTGACACTCTTAAAAATAATGAGACAAAAGTCAAATTATTTGACGATTCACATTGCACGCGTTTTACCTGAATGTGAACTAAGCTGACTGTGAGGCAACTTGGTCAGCTCAATACTTGCTGACTGACCTCCTCCACATCAAAAAATAGCGTGTGCGTTACCTTTTCATAAGAACCGAAACTTAAAGTGATTGTGCGTGTGCGTTATCTATTATTAAGTAGCGGTTTAAATAACACTTTGCAATTGTTACACTGTCGCTGCTAATTATAGTCATGATTGCTGTTATCATGTTAATAAACTATTATTTATGAACGACACAATTGGAAGACTGCCCTACGTCACTGTCATCCATCCAATCACCCGTTGTTATGATCTTAAACTAAATTTGTGCAAATAGTCCTATAAAATCGATTTCATAAATCAACATTAAATCACATTGGTTTTCACTATGGATGTCCTTACCTCGGTCCCTGGCGTTGTGTGTACTGACGCTTGTGTGGACTGTAAAAACGCAACCGAAAGTCATTGCCTGTAAATCCACAGCAAGAGTCGCTCGAGTCGTCACAGATCAGCTGACCGACAAGTTCCTTCGAGATAAATGTTTGTCAAAATAAATTCATGAACGATATATAATGTAATGTACGTGTATATGTGCCTGTGCATATATTTATCTAAATATAAGCTATTTTGTATTAATTCATTTACGACCTATCGTGCCTTGCATTTTATTTATTTTTAATTTATATAGAGTTGCCGATGTGTCCTCACCGCTGTGTGGGCAGCGTGGGGTGAATTCCCACTCAATATTCGTTTCTAAATGTGCACCGTGACTGACTGGCGACCAGTTCGGAGTATAGTCCGCCTTTTGCACGTAGTGAGCTGTGCTCCCACCCCGTCCCCCTGTTCAGGATAAGCGGTGGTGAAAACGGACGGATGGACGATGTCTTTATTTTTCAATGTTTTTAGCCTCACACACACACACACACACACACACACACACACTTTTCTCTCTCTCTCTCTCTCTCTCTCTCTCTCTCTCTCTCTCTCTCTCTCTCTCTCTATATATATATACAGGATACACACACACACCCGGGCCCAGTGGGCCAGTGGTTCGTGCGTCGACCGCAGGAATTTCGATTCCGGCTCTGGTCTCCTTGTGTGGAGTTTGCATGTTCTCCCCGTGCCTGCGTGGGTTTTCTCCGGGTCCTCCGGTTTCCTCCCACATTCCAAAAACATGCATGGCAGGCTGATTGAACACCCTAAATTGTCCCTGGGTGTGAGTATGAGCGCGGATGGTTGTTCGTCTTTGTGTGCCCTGCGATTGGCTGGCAACCAGTTCATGGTGCAAAGAAAGCTGGAATCGGCTCCAGCATGCCCGCGATCTTTGTGAGGATAGGCGGATTAGAAAATGAATGCATGGATGGATGGATAGATAAATATCTAGATTGATGGATACATCATTGTGACGCACCGAATTGAATTCAATTTTGGGATTAAACAACACACGATCGTCTGTCGAAATGGACACAAGATGTCGCCAACGATATCACTTGACGCCGTCGTTTTACTTTGCTCCATCGAAGAAGAAGAAACTTCCGGCCAAGGAGCACCCTTTCGGCATATTCTTCCCTTCGCTATTTCACAGAGAATAATAAGATAAACGTGTCATAATTGCTCACATTGAAGCATCGAGGACGCTGGGAGGTTTTTGATGTAACATTCCAATGTTACGAGACCAAGCGATGTCCGTGGTGTTTGACGGTAGTCCGCTGAATGCGATGCAGAGCTCTCATACTCACACACCGCTGACTGTCCTGAGGTGAGTGAGTGGCGCTTGGAACCGCCTGGGTGCCTCGCGGTGCTTCCAACTCCACGCAAGAACCGCTTTTGCATTTACTATCAAACATAACTTAACTAACACCACCAAAAACATATTAGCAAAGCCTCAGTTGTACATTTTTATCATAATACTACTTATATTTCATAGTAAACAGCACAAAAAGTAAGGGACTTTGTGTTTGGTAGTTCTATACGTTGTAAGCATACTTTTCGGCAATACAGTATACCGTTTACCTCTGGAAAGCCTGTTCATTTTCATTTTAAATGATACCAAACATGGTGGGTGCCATCCCACGGCAGTGCGCGAGAAAGTGCCAGCCTTTTTTGGCCGTGTGTGGTTCTTACACACATTACCGAGGCTCCTGTTTGTTAAATGAAATAAAATTGCCAAGTTGTCTTGTTTCTTAAAATCAGCATTTTGTGTGCAGCGATGGCTGTTTGAAAGTGCTCTATAAATACAATTGAGTTGAGAGTTGAGAAAATGTTCAGTCCACATTCAGTTTATGGTGAGAACGGAGTTTGTAATGGATTGCTTCTGTAGGAGTGCTACTATTGGAAATTTTGGATGTAGACTGATATAATCCGATCCATTTTTTTTGGTTGATATTGGACTGACATCAATATTGGCTTGTAACATCCCTAGTCTCAATCGATGCTAATATTTATGTGATTGCATTTTTTTTTTAAATGCAGGGCATCTTTTGACTTTACATTGGAATGTGCAGAAGTACTGTACTATATAACTCATTTCACTGCCATATTGTCAGTTACGTTTTTTCAACAGGGATGGGTGGGTGAGCGTCTGATGCTTCTCCACTGTAAATTTCAAACTTTGAAACACCTTTACTGATTCACAATCACCAGTAGATGACATTGATTCCCTTTATTGGATATGAAATGGGGACAGTTTGTGAGTCCTGGAATAAGGGGCTGCATTTTGTGCAACTTACCTTTTTTCTACTGCTGATTACAAAAGAATGGGAAAAAGGCAGAATCAAACTTTTTTTTTTCTTGGTGAGAGGACAGAGTCTATTCTTGCATTTGGTAGATTCGCTGTTGATATACAGTAGTCATTAAATACAATATCCTGTGAGTCTTGACAATGTCAAAGGTGGCAGTGAATTTAAGCAGTGTGGTGAGTGCAGAACCGAAAGTCATTGTGCTCTCTTGTGATGCCATATAAAATGAATTAAAACAAACAACCACAAGAAAAAAATATAATGAATTTTCAGGGTAAGTAAGCATCTGTTGCTGTTTTTTTGTGTTTTGTAGTGCTATGTATCACATTAATTCCCTCACATCATCATTTTCCTCATCAAAACTTAGTTTTGTTCGTACCCAACTTCTTATTCCATTTCATCCTTAGTGGCCAGGAACTGTCTCTGGAGATCAAGTCTTTCATCAGTGGTGTTGACACAGTCCAGGGTCGCAAGCTCAGCGTCCGGGAACACGCCCGTTGCGCTGTGCGTCTGCTGCGTTCCGTCCCGGCCTGTCGAGGAGCCGTGCTGGAGCATCTGAGGGGCGTCTATGACGAGCATGTCTCTGTCTTCCTGCTTCACCTGGAGACCGAGGGCGACGGGAGCTCTGGCATCAGCTCGAATCTGGAAGACATCATTCAGGTGGGAGGATCTCGAAGTTATTATTGAACATTTCCATCACCATCTTCAAGGGGATGTGCTCATTCTTGTAAAAATGCATTGAAACAACAAAACAACCACTTGACCAGCCTGTCATATGGTTATGTACTTCAGATAGAGACACCACATAACTGAAATGCCTTATGGGACAGTCTACATACAGCTAAATGACGAGACTGTTAGAAATATATGCAGCTGGATTTTAAAATTTAAGTAATGACAAGCTGTTTCAGTTGAACTTCATTACAACGTTACCTCGAGAGATATAACGAATCTGTATGTTATAACGGTTGTTCATTGGAACCATTTTCAATAAAATGGCCGCCAACTAAGATATACAATACAGTATGAACATAGAGAGGTGTAAAAACATAAACATGTCAATTACAAATACGTGTATATGAAGAAAAAATGATTTTATAAGACATGAAACAAACAACTGTAGTATCCTTACTTCATCTCTGAAACATTCAGTCAGCAAATGGAGGGGAATCCTACCTGTACATTTTGTGCATAAGCAAGGTCGTGGCGGCAGTTAGCTTCCCACGGTTCGTTGTAACGAACACCTTCTCACAATTTTGTGGGAAAAATCTGGTTGTTATAATGAAGTTTATGTTATAAAGATGTTCATTGTAAGCAAAATCTGCAAATGGAAACTGAATTACGTGAAATCTGGACTTTGAAATGTGAACGTTGTCAACGGCGTATTTTGAAACAAGGTTCAGCTGTACTCTAAAAACATATTTGTGTTATATTGGAGTGCCTTGTTCAAGAAGAGTTTGTGTTCAATGTTTGGTTAAAAAAAAAAAATGCATCAAAGTTGTAAGACATAACGGCTGTACTTGGTATTGACGTATACAGTACTCTTAAGTCAGAGATGGGCAACTTAAATGATGGAAGGGACCACAATTTTTCATCAGTGACCCTGGAGGCCCACATAGGACCACACACTTCCTAACCAGATGTATGAGAAAAATACAATTTTAAATATGGACAGCATACATGCTAAATACATGTTTTTATACATTTCAATTTTTGGCAATACATTTTTCAGTGCGTGTATAAAAGATCCACTATCACAAACATTCCAAATTGTACAAAAACGCTGATAAACCTCCCCCCCCCCCGA